ACAGATACTTTTAAATGATATTTTATCATAATAATGGTAATATGCACAAAATGTACCGAATAATTCTTTTATCTTTATTCATATTTTTGTTTATGTTACTACTTTCTTCGTTAGTCTTAATACATGAAAAATGCCTCAAAGATATTGTCACTCAAACTATTTCATGGTACTAAAATTTGACCAATGCTTAATAATCGCTCAACCGGTGAAGTTGATAACTTGCAGTCTTGATCTTGTAAAAATTTAAAAAATTTGGCTATTTAAAAAAGTATGTGAAAATGTATCTGCAAATGTATCTGAAAAAGCAATTCAGGTACCCATATTTTGTATCTAGATACTTGAATCCGAATATATCTCAGATACAGACTCACAGATACACAAAATGTATCCGTCAAAGCTAAAGTTACCTTTGACGGAAATATAGCGAATATAAATAAATTTTTTTTGGTTGCAACATATGACGCAGAATATATTAGTCGACGGAAATACAAGAACGTATAAATGCTGCAAACGATCTGCCGCTCTTGAAGATTGACTCCCGTTTGGCAGGAATACCAAGTACTTCTCCTCGCGACGTTAAATCCCGCATTATACGTTCGTTGAATTCATTATCGTGCGGACCGTCTTTCGTGCATGTTTATCCGCGAAGCGCCGCGACATTTCTCGGCCGAATCGACGCGAGAGAGGATTTTCACATCTTTTATTTTATCAGGAATTTATTCTCGGAGACCAAGAATGAAAAGAGCGAAGATCTCTGTATTTCTCTTGTGTCTGGCGCGCGACAAAACATTAGAATTTTTGTAAAGAATCTAATGATTGTAAAGAATTTTTTTATGTGACAGTTTCGAGAAACATATAATCGCGGTTTACATAAATGGAATTCTCTCAAGTGTCTTTCCAATATTGCATATTTGACGAGATTAAAAAAATGTCGGAAAAATTTACATACATATATCGATCGCGCGCTTCGAGATTACGCTTACTTTCGACTCGCTTCGAACGAGGGGATCGAACAATTTCTCGCTCGCTGTTCCGATCCTGGTGGAATCGTCTCCTGGGAGATTTCATGATCCGCGGAATCTTTCGTTTGTTTTCATGAAATGCACTTCCTTGCTCGCGCATCGATCTCTTCCCACAGCCAATAACAATCGTTGGACGAACGAGGAGTTTCGATTTAGTGGGCTTCTTTCGCAGCTCTTTTCTCTCTCTCTCTCTTTCTCTCTTTCTCACACGAGAATCCCGAGGGGTTCTCTCGTGGAAATAATACTTGATTCGTTCCGCTACACGAGTCGATCAGCATGTTGCATGTTTCATTTTGAATTTCCACAACATTCGCTGCGATTCGTTCGATTTTTATCCTGATCTCAAGTTTATTATTATTATTATTATTATTATTATTATTCTCCATGAAAATATTTCAAAGACATTATTGATACTTTGACATAAACCTGGCGCTGTATCTTGAGAGTTGAGCTTTAATACAGCCGTTTGTATCGTCTTGATAATAATCTATTATCGATTAATTATCAAAGTTATTATCGATGTCTATTCGGATCAGTGCACATTGCGATACTCACGCAAGTATTGCTATGCGCCAATAACGTTAACATTTACATGCGCAAGAAGATTACATGTAATTTCTCGCCTAATAACGTTACGATGCAGCATGGTTGCGGCGACTAATGCCTAAGCACTTTGAGAGAAACTTTTGCGAAACAGTCAGATTGATTTGGGTCAATATTGACCGATCTTACTTCAGCCTGTGAGATATTAGGTCAACTATACAGAAAGATTTGTCGAATCAATATATACCTATATATATATATATATATATATATATATATATATATATATATCGCCAATGCTGCATCCAGCGATGCTGCTCTTCTCTGATCAAATTTAAGCATCGATAGTGTCGAAAATATTGATATTCAGCAGTAAACTTGTCACAGCTAGAGATGGTCATCTTTCGGGATAAATTTAGATGAAATGCAAATTTAAATATCAACTCGCTCGAAACAGCCAACGTCAGTTTTAAGGTAAATTAAATTTTCATAGTTGTGCAGAGGATACAAATTTTCCGTAAATAAATCTCAAATCGAGATTTAATTCGAATAAACGTCCCTGACTCTCCGACCTTCAAGAAGCGTAGGCGAGAAAAATATCGCGACGAAATCGCTGAATCGAGAAATTTAGATGAGCTCGACATCGTCATCGCTATCGATCCTAATATCGGTCTAAAGACCGTAATGACCGAAAAGGCATCCGGCGAATCCGGGTCGCGTCGTTTTTTAACACGACAAGTCTGTTTACGACACGGAGGTTCGATCGAAAAACTCTTCATCGCGATGGATTCCTCGACGGCGCAACCGGGTGGACCTTTAATATCTGCTCCGGCGCGTCGAAAATATAGAGATTCCTCGCAACGATATCTCGCGGAACTTGAGCGACGGTCCTCTTCCGGTTCAACGACGAAGAAATTCCGCCAACACGCGGCGATCGTGATCGCGCCTGTTTTATGTACCGCACTGAAAAAAAATATTATTCGACTTCAAAATCTGCGGTCGAATACGTGCAAATAAATGTCAATGTAATAAGGTGTAAATATTTTCTTCTTATTACATTGATATTTATTTGCTCGTATTCGACTTGTTAGATGATTTTATAAAATTAGCTAGGTAAAGATGAGATTAAAATTTGTAAATTCATCTAAGATAAGATGAAGATGATTTTGTTTGAAATATATATCTAGATGAAAGATGAAATTATATGACGATTCATCTAGATAATAATGTTTAAGACTGCTTATGTAAACACAGTTATTAAAAAAAATACAAATTATAAATAGGAATATAAAAATATATTCATATTTTTATTTATAAATTTTCAGTATTTTTTATGCGCTATGACTTTAAATTAAATTATCTGAACATTATTCTAGATAATTTAATGAAGATAACACTTTTTTGATGTAAGATGCAGATATAAGATGACGCCAAAATGAGCGAACTAAATACAAGATGAACAAATAAAGACATAATTGTTCTGTTTTTATCCCAATTAATTAGGCCATGAATAATGATTATATTAAACAGTAACATCGAAAGATGATAGAGTTAAACATTTCAGCTCTGAATAGAATTGACAGACGAAGAAAATTGGCGGGCAAAATTAACGGGAAATGTCAGACTTACTCTCTATTATGAAAGCCGTCCAATTACGTGTACAATACGGATAATTTAGCGAAAGATCCATTTCGCAAAAACGCAAGCGTGTTTAATACGTTGGGATGGGGTGGATTACTGTGCATTAAGCGGTAAATTTCTGTCATTTACACAAGCAAATGGTGAAAATTTATATATAAAATAATGTATGTACATATATCCGGACATTTTGAGAGAGAGATATTTCAAGCGTGCAATAGTATTAGTAGGCATGTTTTTGCACGATTGTAGGTGAAATATGTGTGTGTGAGTATTATTTCTATGGATTTTAATAATTATTTTTAATTAATAATTTCATTATTTCAACATTATTTTATAATTAAATAGGTGTAGAGATAAATATTTCATGCACAAACTACCTTTAGAGAATAAAGAGAGAGAATATTACTTATAAATTAATTTATATAATTTTCTTTGATACCGAATTTTTTAAATAGCTTATAAAAGAACCAAACAAAATAACGATCAATATATCATTTTACAATCAAAATGTAATTTCATTTGTTAATCAGTATTTTTTGCCTTGGGTTCTGTTTCGCGCAACATTTAATCCGTGATAAGTGTATTTTGCAAAAGTTTTAATTATAGAAATTTCAATACAAATGTGTTAACGCGAAACATCGAACAAAAAGCGTATATATACGAAATGATTAATTTATATACAAGGCAATCAGCTCAATCGAACATATTACTTGTTTTCCAGTTCGTGTTTACTCGCGAGAAAATATTTAATCAATATTATTATTGCAATAAAGGCTGTTACTGATTTTACCGTACGATGTAAATTAAATATAATTTAATATTTTTTTTTATAGTTTTATATCGACAGATAAAATTTTTGATAAAAAAATTGTCGTTCTTATAAATATGCATCTTTATACAAAATTCGGCGTTGCTACTTTTTCAAGTCTCTTCAAAGATATTGATGTTAGTTTAATATCGAAAGTAATTAACTATCAAAGCGGCCAATTAACAATTACGAGATAACAAAGTACTTGAACGTCCTAGCTGCCGAAGGTTTCCGGAATAAAGCGCAAGCGTCCTTCTTACGGAAGCCAAAGTTAATTCCAGCTCGGTAGTTTTAGGTAGTCGGTCTCATTGAGCTAAAACTTCTTTCAACGAGCCAGCCGGCTATTTAAGTCTTAGCCTCTTTTGATTACCCACGCGTTACATCGTTATCTTTGGAAAAGCTAGGCGAACTATTTTGAATTTCTTTCCAGAGTTTATTAAATAATTAACAAAATTAAAAATTAAAAATGCATATTAGTATCTAGTTACATTTTGTGTCTCTGAGTCTGTATCTGAGATATATTCGAATTCAAGTATCTAGATACAAAATATGGTATCTGAATTGCTTTTTCAGATACATTTTCACATATTTTTTGAACAGCTCAATTCTTTAAATTTTGAAAAGATCAAGATTGCAAGTTCTCAACGAAGAAAGTAGTAATATAAACAAAAATATGAATAAAGATAAAAAAATTATTCAGTACATTTGGTGCATATTACCATTATTATGATAAAATATCATTTAAAAGTATCTGTATCTATATACATTTTAATTTGTGTATCTGTATCTGTCATTGAATGATGTCAGTTGCGCGAGATGTGATCTCTATATATTTCGACATATCCTTTCGCAAAAAAGGATTTGTTCCGATATTATTGTCTCCACTTATCTCGTTTACACTTCGTATTTCGTTCCTTCGCGAGACAAATGCCGAGAGCCGCGCAAGTTGAAGGCGACAATCAGTCGCATTTGAAATTGGCGTTTACCTGGACAAACAGAGACAAGTCGTCTCCCAGCAGCATGTCCCTGCAGACGTCTCTGGCCGTGGTATCCAAAGTGAGATAGACGAGGCTGCTCTCGATCCCGGTGTGTATTCTCACCCATCCGCTTCCGTTGCCGACATCCGCCACGCCGACTCCCGAGTCCCAGGAGGAATTGAAAGTATCCTGTAGAAGGCTACCGGGGTCCTTGGTGCATTTTTCTCTCGATCTCGGACTTGGACTCTGTATGGAATCCGTGCTGAAGCTATCCCCTTCCTCGTTGCTGTCTCCGGACGACAGCCGCGTCTTCTCGCTATCGAATCGCTCGATCGTCTCGTCCAGCTTCTCCAGGATTTTGCACTCCAGGATCTTCTCCTCCATCGCGGCGTCTCTCTGCGAATCAATTTCGGATCGATCCTCCGTCTTCTCCTTCCTCAAACTATCGTGTTTCGTCTCGTTATTATTACGTGGATTACAGCTCTCGGGATACAATTTCGAGTTCTCCAGACAATCTTCGGTCGCGACCTCCTTCGAAAATACATTTTCGTTTGCGTAGAAGATCGAATTTTCCGCCGACAATCGTCCTTTTTTGTCTTTCGAACATTTCGATAATGGCGTCTTCTCGTCCATTTGATGTGAAAAATTCTCTTTGGCCGCCATGCTGAAGTTTGTATTCTCGAGTACAATTTTTCGATCGAACTTATCCTTCTCCGTTCGACCCTCGACTCTCTCGTGGTAATCTTTCAAAAAGGTGGACTTGCAGATATCGTGTTTAAGAGTATCCCGAGCCTTCCGATCGCTCGTTCTGTGCCTTTTCTTCATCTCCGTATAGACGTGTTCCTCGGTTTGATCTTTGACTCGGCTCTGCTCCTTCGCTTCCTTACTACGTCTCGATCTCTGCTGGAATCTCTCGTAGTTGGCCAGGATCTTCTGATTCAGCTCGTGGATCAATTCGAGTCGTTTCGAGATGGAGTCTTTGGTCCACCTCTTCGTCGCGTCGCCATTGTCTTTCGTGTCGCCCTGTCGTCTTTGTTTCCTCGAGGTCGCGGAACCACGACTGAGAATGCCAATCTCGTACTTCGAATCGCTCCTGAGGACGTTCTCGTCCGTCGAGCAGGCATCGCGGTGCTTCCGCTCGACGTTCGATCCCGGGAATCCAGATACGTTCATCAGCTCCAATTTCGGTCCGGTGGACGACTTGGCTTCGCGTTCCGTGCATTCCGGGCCCGTTTTCGATCTACCTTCGACGTTCCTCCTGCGAGTCTCGCTAAATTCGACGCCTCTCCTACCGTCAGGACGAATTGTCAATCCGGTGCTGGAGCGGCTGCTCAAACTGATCCTCTCGTTCATCTCCCAGTTTATCAATAGTCCGCCTTTGGCGTTGTCCTCGTCGACGCTCCTGTCCGTTGCAGGACGAAGATTTCCCAATTTTTCATCGACATCCCGATGGAGTAGAGAGTCCTTCGGGACATTCGCGGTCGGTCGTTGCCTTAATCCTCTGGTGGACGACAATCGGCGGGATCGTCGTAGTTTCACGGATGACGAAGGAGCGATCGGTTGACTATTGGAGACGCTGGCGAGCAGCATTTTAGCACCGTAGATTTCTTTTGTAACCGGACAGGATATATGTATGATGTATTTTTTTTTTTCTAAATTGATGAGAAACACAGCGCGATAACGTCGATGCTGTTAATGCACCACATTTTGCAGTTTATTTTTATCCGATTTTAGGGAATTTATAAATGATGAGTTTATTTTTTAATCCTTGTTACGTCTGTTGAATATGTGTCTGCGTAAAATATGCAGTTGTTCAATATATTGGGATTTTATACGATTTTAAATATACGGTTTCTAATGTTGATCTAAATTCTAAATTTAAACTCACGAATTTAATATTAAATTGTGGATACTTATTTAAAAAAAAAAAAAATAGATTAATCATTAAATTACTAATAAATACTTTATATCGGTATTGCAATTTGTTAAATTAAATTACTTTCTAAAATTAACTTACTTTTCCAATCATTTATAAATCCTTGATTCCATAAAATCTCGTTTTATTTCGAAACAGTGAAAATCATATCTGTAAATTCAATTCTATATTTAAAAATGCGATACTCTAATAAAGTCTTATATTTTGATATAAATATTTTTGCGCATTTTTTTTTTTTATTACATCACGTGAGACAAATGTCACACATTTTGGATAGAAATCAATTTGAAGATCAATGAAACGAAAGCTCGTATTTTCCATGCGTCAACTGCGAAACAATTGACGCGTACGAATCGTCATCGATGTCGTGGAATTTGCGAGATCGCGGTAAGCGATTATGTGTTGCAGAATAGCGAAATTTCCACATGACGGAAGTAGGACCGCGACAGATTGTCGGTAAATGACTATGCTGATACTATTGGTGTACGTGTCGCTGTCACGTTTTTACGTGTGTAGGAGGAAGTTGTATAAAGTGTCACGGTTGGACGCTCATTTCAGCAACGCTGACGTACGTGCCTACATAATAATGCGCTTCGATAAAAGCATCATTCAATCTAAATGATGTTTATTAAATAAACAAAAAAAAAACATCAAAAATTACAATAAATCTTTTAAACGAAACTCCTACGATTAGTATGTACATATTATATGACTGGCTGCATAAAGATACCGATAATTAAATGAAAAACAAAAATCGATATTTTGAAATTATCGTTACTTATTCTAAAATCCAGAGAAGATGTATTTTGAATAAAATTAAAGCATTCATTTTTTAAAACAATTGAGATTAAATGAAGCTTCCATATAATAATGAAAAATCACAGAAAATTGGAAGACCTGACGTGGTCGAGTAAATATTTTATTATTTTGTAAATTATAATGTCGAGAGTTTAGTTAGAAACACGAATTTTTGTATCTCATTCAAATTTAATCCCTGATATTTTAACGTATTAAATTAGACTATATTATAGCTCAATTATGATAATTTTAATTTTAGAAGAAATGTCCCGAATTCCAAGTATTTCCACAACATATATTTCTTGGCTAAGTGTGCGGTGAATTATTTATATATCTCATAATATATATCGCCCTTGCAATAAATCCATCACGTCGAAACGTGACATCTGTTCGATCGATTTCTCGCGAACGCCGTCAGTGATGAGAGAAGAATTCGTGATCCCCCAACGGAAAATGATCTCTCGGATTATTCGCTTACGTCGAGCCGAGGCCGAAATACATAATCGTGAAAGTAATCCGCAGGGAGGCGTGAAAAAGAAGACGCGAATACACGTTGTTACACTATTCGAATCACGTAGCCGCGCTTTCTATTTATCTATCGTCCCGCGGTCGGAAAGATATTCGTCTTAAGTTTATCGCCGCGTGCGCCCCGAAAATTTATATCCCGCTAAAGTTGTAGAACGGGATGGCGCGTAAGGAGAATAGGAGCTTCCTTTCTCACGAAATGCGAGTTTCCGGGGCGTGTCGCGGCTCTGTTATGTCTCGTATAAATTGAGCGACGCAGAGTGTACGGATTGTATATGCACGTCGATCAACGACGAGCTCGCTGGATCGCGAATGTGAAAAGAAATGGAAATGAGACCCGTTTCCTGTGTGCATCGCCATTTTTGTAACGTCGATGCGCGCACGCGAACTCAACGTTACGATTTAATCAAGATTCGTCGATATATAACGTGAGATTGTAAAAACAAGATAAATGTGTAATACATATATAACACTTTTTTAAATTTTACTCAAGAATTCTTCTTATATCTCTCATTTTTATAGTTTATTTTTTTATATTTTTTAATTCAACAATATATGTAACCCTACGTTTATTAAAAAAAAAAAAAAAAGAAATGAGAATAAAATTGTAGTTTATATAATTAAATAAAAAACACTTTTTTAAATTTTACTCAAGAATTTTTCTTATATCTCTCATTTTTATAGTTTATTTTTCTATATTTTTTAATTCAACAATATATGTAACCCTACATTTATATTAAAAAAAAAAGAAATGAGAATAAAATTGTAGTTTATATAATTAAATAAAAATGATATTTTATATATATATATATGATTTAATGAATATATAATTATGATATACTAATTAGGATCTTCACCTACAATTTCGATATTAATTCGTGTTTTGACTGGAAATTAGCCGGCTATGGATAGGAAACTGTGAGCACGCGACAATTCAATCTTGTTAACGGAAACAAATATTAACTAGCGAGAGTAATGATTAACGACAATACCGTAGATAATCATTTGTGAACAGAGCCTGCGACAATCTCCATCGACTCGCCTGTCAGTATTATCGTGCAAATATTTCCAGTTAACAGAATTCGGTGGTGCGCACCGATCGATATGCATTATCTATCCCGAAATGAGAAACCGAAATCGGCTCGGATCAAGAGCGACGTTTTCCTCGAGATCTACTCCAAACTCGGCAAATGCGTGCGCGTGAATTATTAACTCGCAACGTTTTCATCTAATTTACAACGACTTTACACAGTTCCACCTCTGGAACGTCGAAATCGCACGAAGCGAATATCTTCTACCCGTCAATCGGATCCAACCGAGAATCGCGACATGTGGCACATAAATATTTTATCATTTTGTTGGGACTTTAAAGTGCGGATAGATCTTTTGATGAAATTGATTCATAATTATTCCAACAGTCCTTAAAACGAACTTGGAAATTCATCCCTTTGTTCTCGAGAGTTAATTGAGAGAAGAATGTACCTACAGACTTGTTGAACGTAATGAAACAAAACAGTTTTGTGAAACCAAGGATTAAAAAAATGTACGCGGCGAGAATTGTCTTTTAAAATTGACCCTGAAAAACATGGTATTGGAAGAATCTTATAAGAAGTGTAACAGTATAAATTTACATGTCTAAGTGAACTTTGGGTTCCTATTTTTACTTTTCAAGACTGTCATTTTAGCTATGTTACAACTGACAGTTACCTGATTATTTGGTTATTTCAATATGTAATTTAATTCAACAGCCTGAAGAGGACCCAATTGATGGTCGAAACGTTGTTTCTTTTTTAATAAAAGAATTTTAACTTTGCCGGTGTTGGTCAATCAATTCTTGCCTAATTTAATCTTATAAGAGTTTCTTTGATTAATATTTAACTTTATAAGATTCTTTCTATACCATATTGTCGCACGATTACCATGATTTTCAGGATAAATTCTAAGAGAAAATTCTCTCCGTGTATAAACACATTGAATTTGTATATTTATACGTTAAATGAGAAAGTCGATTGAATTAATTTACTTTGACATTTAATTAAAGAATGAACTTTTCATTGGCACAAATCACTAGAATAAATTATTCACTTTCATTCCTCAACTTACATAAACTAAAACAACCTCGATTCGATTCACTTCTCACTATTCAACGATTCTATATTTAAACTCCGTATTGGTGTATAAATTCGTTGATTGATCAAGCACTTGGCATCAAGTATCTCCAATAACCAACAACAATTCTATCTGTAATCTTCGCGTTGCGGAAGAGAGAGAGACTTTGATTAAAGTTGACAAAAGACGCGATGCAAAGTCCGGCGTGACATCGAATTTGCGGACAGATACGTCGATTCACGGGGCAGTCATCACGGACACTGGCCGTGGAGAGTTCAGGATTGTCGTATCGCACCCGGCATCATGAATACATCGTCGAGCCACCTGTCTCTCTTTCTACCTGTTAGCCGACGATGGAAACGGAAAAGAGGAGGGAAAGAGGGAGAAGAGAGAGAAAGGTGTCCTTCCCACGTGTTCGTGTCACGTGTTTTTGGTCTGTAGAGAAAGAGAGTAGGATGCGACGTTCACCCAACTGGCGACCCTCGTCAGAGAGGAAGGAGGAACGATGTACTTCCGCTGCCGGTCTCGGTTAGCAGTTGGAGAGGATGATTGAATTTCGGGAATGTTATACGGAAGCACGGAAAAATGGCGGAGTTACTGTGGTGATCTCTCGATGCTCGAGATTCTTGAATATGAAATTTCGGGAGAATGCAAACGTTATAAAATTCTCGAGATACAGTGGTTCCAAAATTTGCGAGCTCGAATGTGACTGGTTTTATCAATAGTTTAGCTAACTTTAACCCAATTGATTAAATTGATTATTATCTTAATATCTTCAATATTAAACTTTTCTTTAAGCTATTTAAATTCTATATTTAAAAAAAAATTAATTTTATAATTAAATTATGAATATAAAATTTATATAAATATGTACTAATAAAAATACAAATATAAAAATTTTTAAAGATTTTAAATTTAAATCTATATTAATTATTTCACTAATAAAATTTAATAAAAATTTTTTCAATCTCTATCAATTTGATTTGGAAGCAACAAAGATTCGAGTAAATTGTGATCGAAATAGATCGAAACTAATGCTTTTTTAGTAGTAATAGCAACAATTTATTCTAAAAATACAATTTTAGAATATGATAATGCTAATATTTTTTAGCCATCGTTTAACGGAGAATGTTATATAGCTCAAAAATATTAGCTGTCATTTTACTTTTTCAATCTCACGACACATTAGATTCTAAATCAAATTTTATCGTAAATTATAAATTATCCGAAAGATTCTACAAAAAAGAAAAGATAAATATGTATAATGTAATATAATAACACATGTGGTAAAAGTACATGCCAATTTCCCAATCAACATATCTGTATCAAGTATGCAAAATGAGAAGTTTGATAATTTTTGAAATAAATATTTTACTTTTCCAATCTCACGACACATTAAATTCTAAATCAAATTTTATCGTAAATTATAAATTATCCGAAAGATTCTACAAAAAAGAAAAGAT